TCAAATATCTTTCTAAAATTCACTTCCGGTTTCGTGATTTCCTGTCCTCAAAATGAGAAGTTATCATAGCTAGATCATGTAAACGGTAAGAGATTAAGAAACAAAACTTATAGGAGTGATAGATCTTGATGAGTAGGCAAATCCATTTGGGTTAACGTCGTCCGCCGTCACTTCCGGTTGTCACAGGAACTGAACAAATAAATCAAAAATTTCAACTTTTTATGGAATCTTTCTTAGTAATACATTATAGCATCTTATTAGTAGTTTTGAACCACTGTCAGTACCACTGGAAAGAAAAACGACAACTTCCGGTCTTGAGAGAAAAACTGCATGAATTTAGTATCGTACTATATCCCATAAATATTTTTTTTTTATAAAAAGAGCATTTGAATTGATGTTAGGACATGTTATTCAGACTGAAATGTCTAGAGAAACCTCAATTATCTTTTCAAAAATTTACTTCCAGTCACGTGATTTCTTCTTCTCAAAATGAGAAGATAACATTACGAGATCTCTTGAACTGTAACAGATCAAAACACTAAACTTATATGAATAATGAACCATGAAGATTGTGCAACAGATATAGGGTGAAAATCCGTCCGCTGTCACTTCTGGTCGTCACAGAAAGTGTTAAAAAATTGAAAATGATTTTTGTAAATGTTATTAAGACTATAATTGTCTTAAGTAACATCGAGAATCTCTTCCTTTTTTTAAACATATATAAAAATTCATACATACAAATAAATAGAGGAGAACGGAAGACCTTCTTTGTTGCTGTGGCAACAAGAGTTTCTAGTTATTATTATTTTTCCCCTTTTTTTGTAAGACGGATTTCTCAGAGATGGCTGAACGGATTTTCTTGAAATTTTCAGGGATGATAGAAAATGAAAATACGCTCAGACGTTTTTTTCATTTTTTCAAAATTCACTTCCGGTCGTCAGATTTGTCCGATTTCCGTTTTTTTCAGAAATAATTTGTCATAGTCATATCTCAGAAACGGTAAGAGATTAAGACACCAAACTTATATGAGTAATAGATCATGATAAGTAGGCGAGCCCATTTTGGGTTTAGATCGTTGACCGTCACTTCCGGTCGTCACAGGAAGTGATCAAAGAAATCAAAAATTTCAACTTTTCTTTTTTGAAATTTTTTTTGCATCACATTATAGCATCTTATTTGTAGTTTCGAAATATGTCAGTCCCACCGGAAACAAAAACGACAACTTCCGGTTATAAGAGAAAAACTGCATTTTTTTAGTATTTTTCTTTCCCATAAATATTTTTTATGCATTAAGTATTTTTTATGAATTTTGAATATGTTATTCAGACTACAGATGTCTACAGTAACCTCAAAAATCTTTGTAAAATTCACTTCCGGTCGCGTGATTTCCTCTCCTCAAAATGAGAAGTTATCATAGCTTGATCTCGTAAACGGTAAGAGATTAAGACACCAATCTTATATAAGTGGTAGATCTTGATGAGTAGGCAAAAACAGTTAAGATAAGATCGTCAGCCGTCACTTCCGGTTGTCACAGGAAGTGATCAAAGAAATCGAGAATTTCAACTTTTCTTTTATGAAACTTTTTTTGCATCACATTATAACATTTTAATATTTGTATTTTTGAAATATTTTAGTCCAACCGGAAACAAAAACGTCAACATCCGGTTATAAGAGAAAAACTGCATAATTTGAGTTTTTTTTCTTTATCCTTAATATTTTTTATACATGATGTATTTGTAACGACTTTTGGATATGTTATTCAGACTTCAAATGTCTACAGTAACGTCAAAAATCTTTGTAAAATTTACTTCCGGTTGCGTGATTTTCTGTCCTAAAAATGAGAGGTTAACATAGCTAGATCTCGTAAACGGTAAGAGATTAAGACACCAAACTTATAGGAGTGGTAGATCTTGATGAGTACGCAGAACCATTGGGGATAGGATTGTCCGCCGTCACTTCCGGTCGTAACAGAAAGTGATCAAAGAAATCGAAAATTTCAACTTTTCTTTAAAAATTTTTTTATGCATCATATTAAAGCATCTTATTTAAAGTTTCAAAATATATCAGTACCACCGGTTGCAAAAGCGTCAACTTCCAGTTATGAGAGAAAAACTACGTAATTTGAGTATTTTTCTTTCCCATAAATACTTTTTATCGGTTAAGTATTTGTAATGACTTTTGGTTATGTTATTCAAACTGCATATGTCTACAGTAACTTCAAATATTTTTTTTTTAAATTTTCACTTCCGGTCGCGTGATATCCTGTCCTCAAAATGAGAAGTTATCATAGCTAGATCTCGTAAACGGTAAGAGATTAAGACACCAATCTTATAGGATTGGTAGATCTTGATGAGAAGGCAAATCTAGCTATTTTGGTTAACATTTTCTGCCGTCACTTCAAGTTTTCACAGGAAGTGATCAAATAAATCAAATATTTTAACTTTTCTTTATAGAATCTTTCTAAGCAATACATTATAGCATCTTATTTGTAGTTTTGAAAAATGTCAGTCCCACTAGAAACAAAAACAACAACTTCGGGTTATGAGAGAAAACTACAGAAATTTAGTATAATCATATCACATAAATATCTTTTATAAAAAGAGTATTTAAAATGATTTTAGGACATTTTATTCAGACTTAAATGTCTAGAGTTACCTCAAAATTTTTTTTTAAAGATTTACGTCCGGTCACGTGATTTATTGTCCTCAAAATAAGAAGTTAGCATCACGAGATCTCTTAAACTGTAACAGATCAAGACACTACTCTTACAAGAATGATAAACCATAAAGATTGGGCAACAGGTATAAGGTGAAATACGTCACTTCTGGTTGTCATAGGAAGTGATAAAAAAAATTGAAAGTGATTTTTGAAAATGTTATTGATACTATATTGTCTAAAGTAACGTCGAGAATCTTAGTAGGTATCTCCGGTTGTTTGTTTTCCTGTTATCATTTTAAATATTAATATGCCTTTTTTAACATAAATAAAAGCTCATTCATGCAGATAAATAGAGGAGAACGGAAGACCTTCTTTGTTGCTGTAGCAACAAGAGTTTCTAGTTTGTTTGTCTCTTTGTCTGTTCATCTGTTTGTCTGTTTATCTGTTTATCTATTTGCCTGTTTATCTGTTTGTCTGTCTGTCTGATGTCAACTTTAACCTTCGCCATAACTTTTGAACCTTGAGAGATAAGAGACTTCATATTTATTATGCCTACTTCACTTATAAAGTTCTTTCAAATGACACCAAGGTCAGTGACCTTGTGACCTTGACTTTGACCAACATGTACATGCTAAAAATAGCTTTTTCGAACTTTTGCCATATCTTTTGAACCATAAGAGATAGAGACTTCATATTTGGTATGCATACCTCACTAATTAATCTCATACAAATGACACCAAGGTCAATGAACCTGTGACCTTGACTGTGACCTATAAGCTAAAAATTGCTTTTTCGAACTTTCGCCATAACTTTTGAACCATAGGTGATACAGATTTCATTTTTCGTATGCATACTCCACTAATAAAGTTCCTTTAATGACATTAAGATCAATGACTTTGTGACCTTAACTGTGACCTTTATGCTTAAAATAGTTTTCTGGAACTTTGTTGCCGCCGGGCACATAGTGTTTTTTACATTTTCCTCGTTCCCGATGCACGGAAAAAAATATTGAATAAAGAATTATTAAGGAAACGGCAAAGCATAGAATGAAAAATAGACCCATTTCTTGCACATATCATCAAGCAACAGATTTTCATCTGGCGGGAAAAGAAATAATAAAGATGCAGCTCCATTGTTTCTGGAATCTTTTACCGGTATTTTGGGGGCATACGAATGATAATTTTGTTGTCGTGAAAGTTAAAATAAAAAAAAGACAACAACAATTAAAAATCACAGAGGGATCAAAGGCGAATAGAAAAAAAAATCTTGCTGCATTTTGTGATCAATTGAAGTAAGCTGCACACAATTTATTAAACAACTAAAAATGAGGGGAACAGGAGAAAATATAGAGGGAAAATCAGAAACACGTGTATTTGATTTTGTCCCTTCTAAGTTTACAGATAATATTCCCAATAAATCTAAGGAATGTTAGTAGTTTCGAGTGTATTTTGTATCAAGATTTGTACATGCACAAATTTATATTACTACTTTTTCATGCGTTTTGCTATTGATTCAGCGTACATAATAGAACTACTCTTACTTGTATTTTGACGGCTCATATCGGCCATCGTAAAAATTTCATTTCACTTGTTTATTACACCAAAAAGCCTGGTGGAAAGGTTTAAGGCGTATAAAATTAATTTTTTTTCAAGTAAAAGCCGATCATCTGATTTTGTTCCTACATGTATGTGAAGGTCGTGAAGTCGGCTGACCGACGTCAATTTTAAAAAAGATAGGCAAATGTTCTTTTGCCAAGCACTTAAGCATTTTGAAGTGAAAGATCCTTTCCTTTAAAGGTCCTTTGGATGAGACCGTAAAAACAGACTCCGTATAACGGCATGCGTTGGCATATATTTAGTGAGGTCTCTTTAATTGAAAACATTCAATCAATTTTATACCTCTTCAAATAACTATAGCGTATTTCGTATTGTCACAGGTTACCAGTGTCGCTTTACTCTAGTCATTGAATGCGATATAACGTACATGTGCATGTAAAACGATTTCTACCATCTATTTAAAATGTAATTAAAATCAGCATTGGTTTTGTTTGGGATATGTTTAAAGTTGTTATAATGGTTAATTATAAACAAATCTCCCAATTATGGCACCTTCAGTGAAATGACCAATTTGATACCAAAAGGAAGGGGGAAAATTATTGTTTAGCAGCTACATATAATGTTTACCCTTTTTGTAAATAGATGCACAGGATTGAAATGTAATTAAAAGAATTCCATTGAATCTCAAGGAATATAAGACAGTTTTATAAAGAAAAATATGTCTCGTTCTCAGATAGTGCCATTTATCTTGACCCATTCAGCATTAACTTTAAATTTATTTTTTAGGAGCTACGAAGAAATCAGAGAACAAAATTGCAATCTGACCAATTTTTCAAAGATTGAAGACACCATCAGAAATCCTGGTAAGTTGATTTAAATCATATATCGTTGTGCTTTTTTTTCTTACACCTGATTTATCAACCGGGCGATAATTAAAGGGTCTATCAGTTGAAAAAAATCGTGTTCTTTTTGTTACTTGCTCATTTGGCCTAAATACACGTTGCAATGCACTGTATTAGAGCAATCAATATATAACTTTTAACCAGATATATTTGTTTTCATGTATATTTTCATTTCAGAGTTTGAAAATCATGGCATGATTACAATTCCTCTTAGTGTTGGAATCACAGTTGTTGCCTTTTTTCTAGGATTCCTAGTTGGAATTTTCGTTGGGTATGATTTCTCTTTTCGTTCAATTTTTATAGGGCTGTTACTATTAAAAAAATAATAAAACTTTAATAATTTTAGAAACAGATGCAAAATTTCTGACAAGAGACTAGAGTCAACGGATAAAAAGGATAGCTACGCATATGAGGGAGAATTACAATGTCAACCTCGATTTTATCAAGAAATGAGACCAACCTCTGTTGATTCAGCTGGCAATGTAGACAACAGTTATGACGAAATTCCGGAAATAGAAAATCTTCCGATTGTAGACTTCAGACCTCCTCCTTTACAGACAAGACTGTGAGAATGAACAGTTTAACCGGGGCAGGCTAAATTACCTAATTATGAATAGGTGTTATATGGATTTCAACAACTTCGTGCAAAGTCATCATTTCATAAATTCTGTGATCATTAAAATGACCTTAATAAATAATAATTTAGCAAATATAACCTTTCACTGGGTCGTATTTTGCTTGACTTGTTTCAGATCAAAACTGTTATATTTGTTTGAATTTTGAATACGGAATGTTTTGCCTACTTGACCAATACTCACAGGGCTCACGACGACTGTAACATGACCAGCCAACAGGGAATGGTTGGTCCTCCTAGGCACCTTATCCTACCTGATCTGGAATTTGGAGGGTCCGTGGTATACCTTGTTCACAGATTCTCCTTGTTTGAAGTTTTTATGAGATCGATCATCGTGCGTTATCTTTAAAAAAATTTCATTTAATATGCAAAAATAATTTATAGATTATTTATGTAAGGCAAATTGCATACTGTTGAAATACGAGGGTTGTCCCAAAACGTCGTAGACAGGGAACATAGTTTATTTCCTCTTTGCTAAATCAAATTTCTTTTCTTGTCATAGCAAAGAGTAACATTTTATGATCATGTATTTCAAGTTTCATGACGATACCACATTTAATAAGAAAACTATGAAAAAATAAAGAAACCATGTAAGTGTACATCGGCGTACGAAAGCAAGCTTAATTTACGTCTCTCATAACTTCATGGTCCCTTTTTCTGCTTCACATGAGGCTATTAACATCAAAATGAATATTTTAAAGTGAAAAACCACACTTGACTGAGGGAATAATTTAAATTCACCACTGTCCGTTTTCTTAAGCAGATTCAAATTTTAGTCAAAATTAAATTCGTTGAAAGATCACTTACATTTTAGGCAGCAGAGAATACACTTTGTTTGACGACGTTCATGGCCCAGAACGTTTCCAAATGTCTGCGTTAAACAATCAGTACTCCACTTTACATGCGATAACTATTTTTTTTATCGAGATAGAGGAAAAACTATCTTTGAATCTCATACTATTAAAAAACAACTCTTCTCTTAAAATAAAGTGTGTAATGTCCTTTCTGCACTCTTTTTCCCCGTCTCTGATGTATAAAAAAATATCAAAAACAATTTACTACATTTCCGTGCGCCGGGTACGCGTTCGACAACGTCATTTTCATCAATCTCAATTCGAACAGCACTTTGAAAATCATGCCACCAGTCATCTGTTTCTAAAGCAATTTATATGAAAATTTGACGTATTATTAAGATTTTGATTCTGGTTTCAGTGATTTAAATTTTAGTTCAATCTTTTACATAGTACCAAAGAAATAAAAACAAATGTAATAGTTATATGCGTCAATTATTCCGGATTTTGGTCGTGCGCCGACAGACCATATCGGCTTTCATATAAATCGTCCCAATATAATTAATATGAAAGATAAATATTTAAGAATTCACAATTTTAAAGAACATTGAATGTATTATGACTATGCAAAATTTGGTCAGTATTGGTTGCGTGTTAAAAAAGTTATTAACATCGTCTACGACTTATTGGGACAACCCTCGTACATCCCCCACTGCTATTCAAAATGTCAATTTCAGTGTCTAATAACAAGTTACAATTTTAAATTAATGCATGCTTTTATGAAGCATATTTGCTCACTGTACTGTGCTTATATTTTCTTACTTATAGTTTCATTCTTGATGAAAAAGACAAAAGACATAGAAATATCAACAAGAATCATAATATAATAGTATACATGTAATTACTTAAGTATGTGTCATTTAAGATGTTTCGGGTCTAAACAATTCAATTTTTATAGAAAAAGAAATACGATACGAGGGATGTTCAATAAATAGTGTCCTCATTGCTCGGAAAGAAATAAAAGGCGTTTTTCAATGATTAAAATCTTAGTGATTTAATTTAAATATTCTCTTTTAATTAAAACACATGTTTGTAACATTTTTATTCAATTTCTGATTGTTTTTGGAACTATTTTTTGAGTATGTTCCTTCGTTAACTGAAATATGGCAGATCCCATGATTTCCTGTTTATCCCCCAAACATTTTCTCTCCAGGGAGTGTGGGTTCGGACGCTGCCATAAAGAAATTTAATGTAGTGGATTTCTGATTCTGGTCCCGTCCTCTCTTAAACCTTTCAATTCTTTTTGCAAAAATTTTGCTTTCTAGCTAGAGTCCTCCAGAAATTGAACTGTCACCCCGAATAAGAATTTTAACAGCAAGACAACTAATATCTAAGATAATGGCAATTAAAACTGTCGTTGTCCTCTTGCAAGTCTTTGCTCTTTTCAGATCTTGCCTATTTTTTGTGCATCTTATATATTTGGAGGGTTTAAAGCAACGGGTTTAAGTTTCATTATTTGTTTGAATTTCAGACAAAGGAGGATAACTACACTTTCAGATTTTTAAAAATAATTGTTTAAATAATCTTACACGCTGTCGTTTTCACTCATTTTTTAAAACATACGGTGATCATTGAGTACTAAGCTTTTAACAGTCAATTGTTTCTTAAAAATAGTGTAAATTATTCCCAAATTGAATTTAGGCAAACGGAACATTGGTTGTTGTTAGTCCTTGTCTCCATTGTTCCCATTTTTGATGCCCATTTTACATGTATCATTATTGTTCATTGAAATCCACCTGCTCATGTGTCTATAAAACAGATATTGGATGCTGTAAACTTCACAAATTTCAGTGAATATTTCTTTGAGATTCTTAACAAGCTTTACAGCAGCTTAAGTAACCGTTTAATTTCATTCTAATTTACTGATTTCTAACAATTTATTTTTAGAACAGTGTCTCGAATAGCTCTTGTTTTCTAGCTTCACACAACGAAAATATGAGATGAAAAGTGGTCGCATGAACTGATATCAATTCAATAAAGATTTAATCATGATAGAAAGTCAAGCTTAATGTCATATGATATCTGTGTTGTATGGCATAGAGTTCAGGAAATTATTTATTAAACAGCCCTAGTATTTGTATTTTTGTGAATTCCATTAATATGATTTGGTGCCTTTACAAATCACAGCACATATTTTGGGATTTTTTAAAATCTGTCTTATAAACTTGAGTTTAAAAAACTTAGGGGATAGAATCTCCATGAAAAGGTTACATACTTAATAAAAACTTAGTAGTACATGTATATCAAATTTACATACAAATGTAAAAGATTAACTTGACAACCTTGCTTCATTTCGAAATTTATGCAATCAAAGACGTACTAGACAGGAGTCAATTCCAAAATTGGGATATCATTTATGGGGGATTTTTTTTGTAAGAATGCTTTCACAGGACAAGTATTTTCCAGGAGTTTATTCGTTTATTTTTCGATATTTGTTTATAAAAACTAAATTATCTTTTAAAACTCTTTTTGTTCCGTGAAAACTAACAACATTCTATGATACAGTTTTTGAACAAATAAAACAGATATAAGTACCCCTTTTTACATTTGTTTAAAAAATGACTGTATAGAGCTATAAGCTAGCTGTTCAAGCAGATGGCTTTATTTGATAATTTTACACAAAAAGACATGCAAAAAAATAAACTTATAACCTAGATTTCTAAAAAAAAATATTAAGCACTTTATGTAAAAGAAAAATACATGCCCATGTGAGTAACCAATTGGTGTTCTAGCTATTACTAGCTAAGATTTTAGAATTGATATTACATGTAGCATGCCTTGGGAAGTATATGTAATTATGTAATCAAAATAACAGAATTTAAAGATTGTTTGATACTAATTGTTGCACTTTTGTTTTTTATACTGATTTTGACTTCGGAATGTTCTGTCTACCAATCAATGGGGCTTACGGTGGGTGTGACCGGTCAACAGGGGATGTTTACTCCTCTTAGGCACCTAAACATACCTGATCTCTAATTTTTTCATGGATCTGAGTTTAATGCCTTCTTCAAAAATTTGAGTTGTTTATAGATTTTGTTGAGCTAAACCACTGTTCGTTATCTTCATATTTTTGTGAACAGAAGATAATTTAGAAATTTGATAATGGAGATATGAGTGGCAAAAATCAAGGCACACTCAGACTTTGCACATAAACAAAACTTACAGAGATTATTGTAAATACTTTAACAGATGTTTTGCAGATGATCAAAGAATGATGAAGAGTCACAATAGAGAAAATATCCAGTATTGAATTTCAATCACAATTTCCTATTTATTTCCATTCTTCAGTTTTTGAAATACATATACGACAAAAGGAAAAATACAATGCGGTACAATACTGACAAATTACTTTTTGGATAACATGCATAATTAATAACATTGTCAATACGTTTTATGCTGCATAGCTTTTCTAGTACAAGTTGTAGAGATTGCAATTATATTTGTGTTTTCAGAAAAGCTAGTTTTGTCATTGTATGCGTAGTAGATAGCTGCAATATGGTATATTGTTGTACTCTTACATGCGACCTATGGACTGTAAGAACAAAAGTTTCAAATCCATTATATTACTAATGTTGAACTCCGACGAAGTAGAACAAAGCGTGAGCACTTAACAATTAGAGATAAATAGGGAGGGGACGTTTATCAAGAATTCTGTTTTATCGTTTACTTGATATGGTAATATCCGTTATGTAAAGAGACATGTCAATGGAATGGTACATTAAAAGCATTAAGTCTTAATTAATCTCTTGCTCCATTCTTATTTATCATTTTCTTAAAGTTAAGCCCATACATGTATGTATTTTCTTCATTAAAACTGCATGAAGCTTCAAGGCTGTTCCATTACACACAAAGATGATCGGTTAACCTTTAGCTTGAGAATGCTGTAACAAGGTTCTTCATAGCTGTTATAAATAGGATCATCTGGAGTCTCATCAGGCTCGTTTTCAATATTTTCATCTGTATTAACTTCCTCTACACTATATAGATTATTTTGTTGGGTTTTAGTTTCTGAAATTTAAAGGAATGTTATTGGATTTTCTGTACAAAACATTTACGCCAGGTTAATGAATAATAAAGATAAAAAATATAATGTCTTTTGAATTCACACAAAATGCTTAATATAAATTTACCTGTTACTTTTAGAGTTGTAAGCTTTTGATGGCTGAAATTTAATTTTAAAAAGAATGTACATATAATTATATTAAAAATATTTTTTTAAAAAACGAAAGAAAATTAAGGAAAGACGATGAAAGAAGTTTTATGTTCATAGCCATTTTGAAAAAGTTTCTGTGTTATCTTTCTTTAAAGAATTCTTACCAGTATATTAATGATGCAATTGATAATAAAAACACCAGAAGACTGCACGATGTTGAAACCAGAAGGAACAATTCTGTTGAGTCAGTTGTGCCTGTTTCTATTGACGAATTCCATGTTATATAAAAGGAGATGTTGAATTTAAAAAAACGTATAATTGTGCGTCTTCCATTCAGTTTGATATAATGTAAATATGATTTATCCCATGTTTTTAGAAAACGGAAATTGATTTTCATCGGATGCTGGAATATTCTTTTAATGTAAAAGGAAATGATTCTTATAGATTTTTCTCGTACAATCTCTTTAATTTATTCTTGTATTTATGCTTAGTTTGTGAATTTGTTTATTAATCAAGAAAAATTGTATAGTATCTTAATTTTACCCTTCCGAATTCCTGCTTTTGGTGTATTTATTCTTGTAATTATACATGATGTAGTTTACCTCTTGTAATGTTTGTTGCTGTTTTCAGTTCGCCCATGCAGTTATCCGGGACTATGTCATCTCTGCTGATTTTGGTTGAGTTTTTTCCGTCTTTTGACATGTTTCCAGATTTGACTGATCTAAGCAGACAACCACAAGCGTGGTGACAGTACTGTGTTTGTTCACATTTACACTTAAAGGAACACCCCTGCCCAAAGTAGTTTTCTGGACATGTTGTATTACAGTATTTTCCCACATATCCTGGATAGCAGACTTCAATATACAGTGAAACCTGTCTAATCCGACATGCACTGGGAGACAGATTTGGTGTTGGAATAGACAGGGTGTCGGATTGCACAGTGTAAGAAACAAAGAAAATGCAAAAATGGGAAAGAAATTTAATGTCGGAATTAACAGTATGTCGGATTCTTCAGGTGTCGGATTAGACAGTTTTCACTGTATATATAAAAAAAAAAGACTTAAAAAGCAAAAGTCAGACCACTGTTCTGGAGATAAAAGTAACTGTTTTAAAAGTCAATCTGAATATTTGATTTAGTAATATACATATCTTATACCTTTAAAAACGTGTATTAAGGAAAATATTTTTGAAATATACATTAAAAAAGAGACGGAACCTTTTTGGACGCATACACCATTCATTTCTTTATATCCCAAGCAGCAATCAAAGTATTTTTTCCCAGACCTGAACAAATAGATTTAAAAAATGTACAAAACTATATGCATTATGCAACATTTTTTTAAATTTTAAAATATTTTCAAAAGACGATTACGTAGATACCTTGTATAACTACAGATGTGTTTGCCCTCTAACGCACAAAGGGGACAAAACAAGGTAATATAAATCGAAATAAATAATGTTGTCACCTTCATTCTAAGGCCTCATTTGGGTATTTCAATAAATTCCCTCTTATCGAACATACTAAGTCATTTACATGATAAAATATTCCCAGTGTTTTTATATTTATAAATGTTCGACGATTATACTCTTATTGTATATGTGATGAATGCTTTACAGAGAAGAGGAAGTATTTGTACAAATTATTTACATTACACGAGTTCCTTGCATACAAATTGTATGGAAATCTATAGTATTCAAAACACCTCAATACGCAAAGGGTGTCAAAAGGTTAAAGCATGCGATTTATATTGACATAGCAATAGCTGAACGCCGAAGAAGTGCAACGTCATAAGCGAAAATCAAAAGTCACGCTCATATTGACCAGCTGTTACATGTACATTGGCTCTTCCATTAACTCAATACAATGCATGGGTATTGGCTAACGCACGTAATGAAAATTTGGTGGCACACACGATTGCAGAACTTTATGAGACTATGTATACCGATAGGTACAAACTGCGCTCCGTTATTAGTAGCTCTATTTTTGTATTCATATGAAGCAATATTTCAGCAAAGTCTTCTGCGTGATAAAAAGATTACGCTTGCTGTGGCCTTCATCGCAACATTTAGATATATCGACGTCGTATTGTCAATTAACAATGGTAATTTCCATTCTTTTGTCGATACGATATATCCTGGTGAGTTTAAGATAAAAGATACTACAGAGTCTGACACATGCATTTGTTTCATACTTGGATATTTTGCTTGAAAAAGACATTAATGGTAATCTAACAACCAAGCTCTGTAATAAACATGGTGATTCTAACTTTTCTATCGTCAATTTCCCTTACTTATGCAGCAATATAACTTCACTTGCATATGGAGTTTATGTATCTCAGTTGCTTCGATACGCAAGAGCATGATCTACGTATGAACAATTTCTAAAACGAAGTAAATTATTGACAAGCAAGTTGAAACAATAATATCAGCAGTATCGTTTAAAGTCATCATTTCGTAAATTCTACGGTCGGTACAATGACCTTGTCAGAAAATACAATTTATCATTGAGTCAAATTCTGACTGATGTTTTTCATACTTATTTTTAGTCCATTATTTAAACACTGAATCGACGGATTTTCCGTTATTTTCCATCACGAGAAGAGCACACAGCAGGTGTGACCGGTCGCCAGGAGATGCTCACTCCTCCCTGGCACCTGATCCCACCTCTCATGTTTTGGAGGTTCTTGTTTGCTCTACTTCTGTTTTGTATTGTTTTAAGGACTTTGATATTGAATATTGTTCGTTATCTTCATATCCTTCATTTTTTTTCAATAAATTATTTATTGCTTAATTATGCTAATATGAAGAGCAAAATAAGTTTCGTTTGTGTTAATGAGGTACCTAATTATGAAATGTTTGTAATAAAATCTTATGCTTCGATTGCTATAACCTTTAGATTAAAGTTTTAATGCCAAGGGCAGTTTTATATTTTAAAATCAACTTTGGCTTTGAATGTGAATAAGTCTTTAGTATTACAAATGAAGGGCTAGAATGATGAGATTTAATTTACTATTACATTCTCGTACACGTGTTTGTGTGGTTAAAAGACTATGAAGCTTACTTACTCATATTTATCTATGAAAATGCGCCGGTTATCCCTCTTTTGATGCCGTAATGTATATTTTCTTTGAAAACGTTTTTGGCGCTTTGAGATTTGTGTATATGATTTTCCCTAGCTTCTTTTTGTTTCTTGCCTAAAATTATTAAGGAGATGATCGTCTAAATTACAACTTAAAAAACGAAACGGTAGAAGCATTAGGAAAGCAAACTTCGAAATAAAAAGTAGCAGTAAATCATTATATTTCTTCTATTTAGAAAGTTGATCTTTTTGTGAAAAACAAGGGTTTTAATCGAACAAGCAAGTGTAATATACAAAAATAATTCTTTGTACAGTTACGGTCTAATTTCATTTTTCATTAATGTTGAAATATGCTTACTTTTAAACATATTTGTAAACATAGATAATAAATATTTATATATTTTCTGCACACTTAAAACATTTTGTACTCGTTAAAATCGGAAATAAAACCAGCCATGACTGCGGAAGTACCTGTAAAGTTCTCAATTACTAAAATTATAATTGTATCATGAGGAGGAAAAATAATTTTAAAGTGCTTGAAATTGAGGAAGAAATTATTTCCTCTTTTCCTATCTTTATACAATTAAATCGCAGTTTTGTGCTAGATTCTCAAGATGCAATAGACATACTTGCTTTCATCGGCTGTTATTTTTTAGGGCGTTAAGTACCCAAGAGAAGATACTGTTCCGTCGATTTGTTCCGACACAAATCAGGTTTTAAAAGTAATGCTTTAATATTATATCACAGACAAGTTATTTATCTTCATGACTTTTATATTATATGCAAATACTTAAATGCTCAAATAGAAAAAATATTACCTTAAGTATATATTTCTAGATAATTATGTTCCCCAAACGAAGTTGGGGAACATATTGTTTTTACTCTGTTTCTTATTATTATTATTATTATTTTTCTTCTTCTTCTTCCTGGGTACTTTTTTGTCCGGGAATGATCTTGTAAACTGTTCGTCCGAGGTAGGTAAAACCTTTTTAGGGTAAGTAGACATGTTATGCAGATTTGCGGAATCAAGGTCATTTTGCGCGCACGTGCTTGCAAGAGCGCGCACGTGCAACACTTGAAATAACCAATATAATAGATATAGTCGGAACTTTTCTATTTTTTGATAAAATGCTTTGAAACTCATTATGTAAGGATACATTAGTAGTATAGACAAGATGGCATGGTCAAAATAGCAAGATCTCACGCGCATGCACGTGCGCTTCGCTCTGATTGGCTGAAACTAAAGTCTCAATATCTTTCTTGTTTCTTGTCATAATCTTTTGAAATTTTGAACATGGTCCTACATTATGAAGATCTACAGCATGATATATTAAAATTTTAATAAAAGCATGCGCATGCGCACGTGCTGTAATCTGATTGGCTAAAACTTTAAATGGCTATATCTCCTTTGTTTTTTGACGAAATGCTTTGAAATTTAAAACATAGTCATGCATTACGATATCCTAAAATATGATATAGAAAATATTCATGAAATCACGCGCATGCACGTGTGCTGCAATCTGATTGGCTGAAACTTCAAATGGCTATAACTCTCTTGTTTTTCAACCAAACAGGATGAGATTTAGAACTTGGATAAATATAAGGGACTCCTACAAGAAGGTGTAGTCATTATGCACCTGCTTGCACGTGCGTGTACGTGAAATTAGTAAAATAAAAAATACACTCGAATGAGTGCATTTTTTAATACTTTTGGATTAAATGCTTTGATATTATTAAAATTTAAGATAGTGTAGACAAGATAATATGGTCGTTACGCACATGAACACGCGTGCAATGCCTATTTTTTTAATATATTTTGTATTTTTCTTGGAAGACCTTGATTAAGTCTAAATTCCGTAAAGTATTTCTTATTTAATAGAGATAACAGGGAATATGGCACCAAAAGGGAGTTGGGGAGCGTTTGGGAACATCTGTAACGGTCCCCGTTACAATTAGCACTAGTTGAAAGTATTATGCATTTGATAATTTCATCCTTATTTATTTGATAAAGAAACCTTCGGCAAGTTGGCTCACCAAATTTATATTGTCATAAATACTTTTTTTTATCATGTTGCTTTTCAGAACACCTAAAAATTAAAATAAATCTTAAATAATTTTTTATAATATTAGAATTAGATTGAATTAGTCATTTTATTTAAAGTGGGTAAAATCATAAAATAAATGAATTTATACCATAATTTTCTACCTTTCCCGTCCTGATCTTAGCAGACTTATTTGTAAAATGCAAAATTCACTTTAAAAAATAATACATGAGAACACTCGTGACATTCAATTCGACATTTAGATATACATGTATTGACGTTATATTATCTATATTAACTATTAGTTACTTCTATTCATATACTGACTTGATATATTTAAGCTTAAGTGAGCTTGAAATTAAACATTCCACAGAAACTGACATAACTGTTAAATAAGGATATTTCACTACAAAAAGACGTAAATGGTAATCTAGCAACATATCTTTATGACAAACATGATGACTACTTTCTATCGTCTACTTCCTTTACTAATGAAACAATATATTCCAAACAACCTGCATTTAGGGTAATTGTCCCATAATTGATTCGATATGCAAGGCAAACAATTGACAAAGTGAAATAAACAATGATATCAATTTACTCCTTTAAAACCATTTTGAAAGTTTTACTGTCGATACAATGACCTTAAGCTAATAAAAAAAATCTAAGTTAAATAATACCTATATTTATCATTTTTTTGACAATTACGGCATTATTTACACACTGAGTTGTCCATGGATTTTGCCTTTTTTTGAGTATAGCAAGGAGCATACATCGGATTTGTTTAATCAACATGGGATGCTTTCTTCTCCATGGCGTATGATCCCTTTTTATGTTTTAGAAGTCCAATTTTCCCTGTTTCAATGGACGCTTGAACTTGATTGCCGTCCCTTTTCTCTGTTTTACCTCATTGTTTTGATTTTCAGATTTAAAAAAATCGGTTCTGAATAAAGAAATACATTAACATATGGTATTTGATTGAAATTCAAGTTGTACCTTTACGCAGAGAAGAGTTTTTAAAAGAAGATAAAGTTTGTTCCAAAGACCATTTAAACATTAAACAAATGCGATAAAATTTGTTTTCCTTCAAGTTTCTATTTAGTTAGATATGAACTAAATCTTAGATCCTGAAATAAACCTATGGGACGTTATTAAAATCACGGGAAATTTCATTTATTGACATGATTTTCGGAGATAAATCTGATCCATATTGATTCATGTCAGATCAAGTGTAAAAAAAATAATGGTGTCATTAGTTAAGCAGTTTATATTTTTTAATGGCTAGTTCTTTTATAAATGATAAGGAAATTTTAAATATATACATGCACATTGGTTACCTCTTATCTTAATACT